TATATATATATATGCTCCGCTGGCCGCTGCCGTCAGCATGGCAGCTGCAACAACCACCCAGCCACCCACTCAGCACCACCCTGTCAAAATGTCATTGCGAAAATCCATGAATGCTTACGTATCCGCTTATGCAGTTGCGCTACGCTTCGACTGGCTGGCGGGCGGGCGTTGATATTCCCGTGATAAACGCGTATTCAGTTACGCAACACGACATTGCAATTATATATGTAAATGCCACATGCTCTTACATAAGGCGGGCGGGCTATGTATGCATGCCACCGACCGAAGCGCATATAAATGCGACTGCAAAACTACCTCTGTGTCGCCATTAAAGCTGAAGGCTTAACAGCTTAGAACAAATGCGTTCAGCTACAACTCATTCGCTTTATGGATATGCATACATACAAAGCTTTAGAGTGTTTAGTTGTTAATACATAAGCCTACTACATATTACCAAATATAATATATACCAAATATATAGAAATATGGAAAAGGATTTATGTTTAAAAATGACAGAAAAAAAAATAATAATAATAATAAATTAAGTTTGCTTAGAAAAATATGTGTTCAAAATATTTTTTATTTACTTATTTATTTCATTAAATTCTGCTTAAAGTTTTTTTCCTCAAACTCATTTAATTGAGTTGATGAGGTTAGCAATTAAAAAAGAAATATATCGTATATTTAATTAAACTCTTCTCAGTCAGATCCCTCTTCAAAACATTGTTCATGAAACAATTAAAGCTCTGCCATATATTGAATACAATTTATTAAATTATAGCCTGTCCTATACCACTATATAATCACCTTTAATTGTGCCCATTGTATCTAGATAATGTCTACTACTGCTCTGCTCGGCCCCATGACTGTTTATCTAATAAAATGCATGCGCCTTGTCTTGTATTGTTTGGCCCACTGTAACTGTGCCACATTTAATAATGTCAATATGCAAATATAATATACACATACATACATACATATATATCTATATAATTTGGTCTGCAATTTAGACGGCTTTTGTCACGGCATATGTCAGTTGGAAGCCCGTTTCAGTATCGCTCGTCTGCGCATCGCTGCTGAAATGAATGACGAAGGGCGGACGTGCGATTAGTTTGCTGCCAGCCAGGCCATTGCCACAATAATAGGTGGGCTGCAGCGCCTGATTATCGGCCACATATGAGTTGGGTATTAACAGATAGTCCGAGGCACGCCCCATAGTGCGCACCGTACTGTGACAGTCCGTATCGTAGCCAGGCCCAGGAGCACCATTGAATTTCGATAAAGCAAAGTGTTCTATCTTGTAGCTGTAAGGCGAATAAGATTTGACATTATATGTGAAATCAGATGAGGGTTCAGTATGAGGTATTAGGTGAGATCATAGACCTTGTATTGAGGTTTCCTAACATGATTTTTCTTTAGATTCTGCCTAAATTATCAATCAAAGAATCATACAATTTTTTTTTTTTTTCAAAGTATGTGTAGCTGGAGCTTAATATAAACTTCCAAATAAATTATTTCAAAAAGATTTTTACTTAAATTTTGTCAAAGATTTGAATTAACTTAAGCTTTAGTTTTAAAATACCCAACAGAATTTTGCAATGCCTTATAGATGTGTCTCCAATTACTATTATATAACATGTAAGGAATTAGTTTAATATGATATGAAATGAGGTATCATAAGCTTTTCACTTAGCTTTCCTACTGAGACTTCACTTTAGAGTTTGTCAAGCTTTCTCAATTAAATTTTTATCTTCCGCCAATCAAATACTTTCTAATCTTGTTACAGGCAATTCTCGATATATGAGTATAGGACTAAATATTAAATGAATCCATCGAACTGCTTTTCACGTTACCTATGTTTTAATAACTTTTGAATAAAATCTGTTGCTTAGATAAAAGTAGATCGTCTGGGAAGGTTTCTTAATAAACTTCAATCAAAATCTCGCAAGTTTTTAGCAACTAAATCTCTCTCTTTCACTCTCCATTCTCTCTCACCTACACTTACCTGATTTCACGATCAGCCCCACCTGCCACACAGATGGCGTACTTCATGTTGGCCATATAAACGCCGCCAGCGAAATTGAAGCTAACAATGCCGCCCGACGAGCTGCGCCAGTACTGATCACAGCCGAGTGGAGCCTGCAGTTCCAGATCCGCTGGCGAGGGTGCTGTCAGTGTCTGAATGAGCTGAGCTGCCGGTCCCCCAGCGGAGTTGGCCCCAAAAATGGTGCGTGGCAGCAAATTGCTGAGGAGGGGCAGCAGAGGTCGCACTGTCGGCAACTGGGGAGCACTGGCTGCGGCGGGCGCAGCTGCTGGCTGCTGCGTGTGCTGCTGCAGACACTCGATTTGTGTTAGCGTCAGCTGCCACGTGGACTGCGTCGAGTGGCTGGCCAAGTTGAAGTGCAGTTTGAGTGTCTGGCCCCGTTGCAAGTGCACGTACAAATGCTGTCCGTTGTTGCGGCCGCAGAGCTGAAAACGCTGCACCTGCACAAAATCGACGCACTCCAGCAGCTGCGTGCTGGCATTGAGTTTTGGCTGCGCCAGCTCCAAGCGCTCGAAATCGATGCGCACTTGACAGACCTGTGCACTCCACGGCGCTACCTCATAGTGGCAGCTAGCCAGCTTGCTTAGCTCCCCAGCTCCCGGATTTCGTATGACAATGCGCTTCTGCCGCGCACTGGACCCCGAATTGCACTGCAGTTGACAGCGAACCCCAATCGAAGAGCTGACTAACAGCAACAGCAAACACAAAGACTTCATACTATTCCACTTATTTGATTTACTTTATCGAATGGCTGCGATGATTTAATTTGAAAATTTGGCATTCTTTTGGCTTTTATATCATTCGTTATCAGCGAACGGGCCAGATATCATACTATCGCCCACTGATATTGACATTCGCCATTGCCAGATAACAGATGTCTCCATACGCGATAATGGCTGGCCCGCCCAGCATCTGGGCCAATAGATGTCAACAAGTTGTCAAGTTGTGAAATGTGCAAGAAACTTCATGAGTCAGCGAGTTTGTGAAAGAAAAACTAACTCTTGAATAGAAATATTTAAAGAGTTTGTAGGGGAGTGTGGATTAGCTCCAGAGAAAATGATTTTATATGTAATAATAAATTTAAAAAT